GGGCGGGGTCGTCCTCAAAAATTATAGGTGGGGGCACCAGTGAAGGGTAGCAAAAAGATTCATCTAGCTGATTGATACCAAGTACTACCGTCCTGATCTAAACGCAGAGGTCAGTTTGAAAGGTCTTCCCATTGTAAACAAAAAACAAAAACAAAAAACAATGAATGATGAAAGCAAAAAAGGAATAAATTCAATCAGTTGATGTGCAAGGGCGTATGCAGGATTTTTCAAAGGGGGACCCTACACACCAAGCTTTTACTATGACGTCATAGCACTATGGTACGATTTGCTCTTTTTATCGCTTTTGTGGCTTAGAAAGGGGGTCACGGGCACCCTAGGACCCCCCCTCCTAAATACGCCCCTGATGTGCCTTATTATTTGCAATACAATACCAGGGAATACCAAGGAATAAATTTCAGTACCAACCTCATCTTGATTGAGAACATCTCTATACTTTGTTCCTCTTGACAGGAATGTTACGCGAATTGGTTGGGCTTTATCCTTGGAGATGAAAAAATATATCTTACCAATAAATATACTGACATGCACGCTAACAAACAAAACCGAAAAATTATTTAGTTTTCGCAGATTATGAAAATATATGCTCAAGGTATGGAATTGGCGACATCCTTGACCAATCAGCGTGGGCAAAAATACTTGGGGTCCAATCAAAACGTTTGACCACGGTAACGTCAGGGTCACGGTACGACAAGATCGTCACGGCGTACGTTTTTATTACAACCATGGGAAATCGGCCCACAGCCAATTATTAACCATTACGTAATTATCAGTTTGACCAATGGGTAGCCAGGAGGATGACGTCACTAGCAAGCAACAAACCTTCGTGGTTCTTTCTTGTTTGATGTCCAGTTTACTCAGAACGTGTTCTGAGAATGCTTTGAACAACCCACTGTTCGAGCATCCAGGAATCTATATGGACAGAAATGATTAGCATTAATAGTTATTACGCTCCAATCCTCCCTTCTTTTTTCCCTTTCTTTCTTTCCTTCTTCATTCATTTTCTGCTTGACTTGGTACTTTCTCTTTCACTTAATTTGAATGACGGAAAAGTTGCTCAAATCACATACCAAGGGAGTGTTGTAGTAAAGACCAAAGACCATACGAGGAAGAAGAGCAAAGATAGCACGCTTGAAGCAGACCTGATAAGAAAAAAAAACGACAAATTAATCTCCTCTCCTCTCCTCTCCTCTCCTCCATTACATCCTGTCTCTCGTTTCTCTCATAGACTTACTCTTTTGCCACCATATTCATTTCCTAAGTACAAGATTGGATGTTTTGTGAAGACCTTCCATGTTTCTTGAAAATTACCTAAACTGTATCTGGCATACTGGGAAAAAAAAGACATCTACATTCTTAGACATAATTCGAATATAAGCTTACTTAGGTTAGGGTATAATTATATTCCTACATCAAACGCAATATTTTCGTTGAAGCTTATATTTGTTGTCAATCGAATAATCTTGTAAAGCTAAGGGGGAGGAAGCAATTTATTTAGGACCACTTGCTAACAAGGCTGTTTGCACTTGACCTTATTCTTCTCAATGCAATATTTTCGTATTTCAGACCATGAGTCATTCCCWAGAGTAGCATTTCTTTGTTTAACAGCTGCACATAAGAAGACACATGAATATGGATACAACTCAAACAAAGAATCTTATTCTGACAAAAAGAGAATGACACATGGTCTCAAATTGGAAAGCATTAAAGGACAGGATTTAAGGTCTATTTGGTTGTCATATAGTAATTTGTTTAGTATACTCACACTCTCCCAAAGAACAATGTTGATGTCGGTACTGAATGAACCATTGACATGTAGAGTGGCAAAAAGGTTGAAGAAGTCACAGAAATGATGATACATATTGACAACTGTAAACATAACATATTTTTACCATCAACATTTTTAGATTTCATTCATTCAAGGAATTATTTGAAAGAAATGTTATGGATTCAATGTTATGTTCTGATTGAGACAAAAGTCATGACAGGTTGATTGGCAGTACACTATGAAGAKGTTGGCGAACATGAGAGAAGTGTTAGGAGAACCATATATAACATGTTGCGTAGTGCTTCTCAACACTTCTCAATGCTCTGCTAATCCCAAGTCAGCACAGCACAGCAAGCAAGTCAGCACAGCATAGCAAGGAAGACTTTTGATTTCTTCATTATAAAATATTACAAATTACAATAACCGTTATCAAAATGGCACAGCTGAAAGTGCATGAGTGTGCTGCTGAGTGCTCTCATAAAGCATCTGGTCCCAACCAATCAGAACTTTGATATCAGCTATAATATCTTACCTGCATCTAATTTCATGAAGATGGTTGGTCTTTCCACAACAACATCACAATGTCCATCTTCGATTGGATTGAAAGGCAAAGATGTATACTTCTCTATTTGACTGAGCCTGAAGATCCATTTCAAGAACATAGAAAGATTATTAAATAATTATTAATAAGTGAAAATGTAAATACTAAGGAGATCTATAAATTTTTTTGAAAGTTAACCGTACCAAGAAGTGAGTTCCATGTTGTATCCTTCGTTAAGCTTTTGGATGGCTTGTGAATCAAGTTTGCAGAAACCGCCAAGCTGACCCTCTTTGAACATGTCGGATTTGAATCTAGATTTTGAATTAGTTACTCAGTAATTTCTTATATTGCATTTCAATTAATTGATGCTACTTTCCCATCATCTCACCAACCAGCTACCCATTTCTACCTTTCTCCTATCCATCCATCCATCCACCCATTTTAATCCTTTCATCCATCCATCCCTCCCTCCCTCCATCCATCCATCCATCAATCTATCCTCCCATCCATCCATATTCCTTTTATCCATCCATCCATCCTTCCATCCATCTATCCATCCATTCATCAATCTATCCTCCCATCCATCCATCCATCCATATTCCTTTTATCCATCCAATTATTCTTCAACTTTTCTCCACCTGGCATCAATGAATGCTCCCTTCCATTAATGTAACAATGTAAAATGTAACAATCTTAAATTACACATCCACCTTTCTTGCAGAGGTCTCCCATCATCTCTTAAGTCCATATAAAGATTCTTTGCTTTGCAGTAAGACAAATGTTTAGTACAGGCAAATGATGAACCAGCCTAATGATCAAAATACAGTATGCCAGCTGAGTTAGTTGTGTCCCTTGAAAAGAGTTCTGGGTCAATTATTTAAGGTTAGCTTTTACAAGCAATTTTGAAGGAATAAATTTCTTTTATAACGGCTCTTAATTTTTTGTTTCTTCTGTATCGTGAGGCACACACACTAAGATTTGTCCACCATTTTTTTCATTGTCGTGTCAGTGAGGGACATGCAAAATCATAGAAAAATGCTAAATCAAATTACTATGTTGAATCAAGGTTGACCTTGAGTTTGTTCTGAAGGTTAACTCAACTGGTTGTGTTAGCTAGCACAACATTGAGCTCTCAAACACTCCACAGGAAATAATAACCAGCACTATTTATAATTATAATATTAAATAGCAACTTACTTTTTTAGCAGACTTCAATGGCTTACAGATTTTTTGTAAATTTTCCTTAAAGTTTTTGACATAACCAAAATCTGCTTCTTTCCAAAACTGTTCAACTTTTTCTTCATTTCTGTTAGATTTATAAGATTATGGATATAGATTAAGTAAGAGCAAGGTCTCAAGGTCTACAATGCAGTGCACAGTGCTTGACATAGACAAAATAACTCATCTTGGTTTCTTTTCTCATGTCAATCCACATGGTGACCTTGACTTTTGTTCTCAATTATTACGTAAATTGCCCGGAAGGGGGGTGGGGGATTGTCCGATTAGGGTAGGGATGTGCCTCTGAGCCCTCTGAACCATGACCCTGTTCCAGAGTAAAAATTGCAGAAATTCATGCCCTGTTTGGCAGCACGTACCCAGCAAATATAGGGGAGTACCCCCCCCCCTCCCGCAGTAAATCGATGCATGCAAACAATTTTTAGCTATGAAAATCATTTCTTTCCTTACGAAGAAAAGTGTCTCCATCCTTTCTCATCGTTACATTTTGGTGTGATAAACCACTCCTTGCATCCAGGTTCATATCCCCAACACTTCTTCTCTTTTTGATCCTTTGTCATTGTTTCACTCTAACGAATTAGAAAAACATGTCTTATCACTATCAGGTAGAGAAGAGTCCCACTATCTTGAACCTCAAACCCAACCCTCTGTCCCGACCCACCCTGCTCCCCTTCCCCCTCCCCTTCCCCCTCCCCCTCCCCCTCCCCCTCCCCCTTTAAACAAAACTTTCAGGTTGACAGCTACATATGGATATATTCAGTCAATGTTTTAAAAGGCCTATTCCCTAAGCCTCCGTTCCCTTGTAAGAATCGCCAGCAAGGGAGACTCTCCCAGCAGGGAACCTAGCATTGAATAATCTTACAATTAAAAACACACATAAAATATTAATTACTGAATACAAAACAGTATATAAATCCAAACATTGCTTGACAAAAAATTACATCTGTACTTGTAAACTCAAGTATCTCTCTTCTCAGATATTAAAGCTCTTGCTTAAACTCTTCTTGTTTATATTATTTTACGAAAAAATCCGTAGAAGGACAACAGCTGAAAGTTTAGTGAAGAATACTGGAATCTCCCTCCAAAGATTTGTAATCCATTTTTAAAGACTCTAATCAACTCTTACCTTGCATTTCGTGGAATCCTTGCATGTGTTATCCTTATTTTTCGTTTCCTTTTCGTATTCCTGATCCTCTACGAGGCTTTCAACACCGTTAAATCCATACAAAAACACAAACAAAACTATTAAAGTGATGACGGTGAAAGAATGAAGGAGGCGACAACAGATGTCTGCTTGAGATTTCATGATTTTAACCTCCTTAATAAAAATACACTACAAATATGATAGAATTCAATTCATTTTAGGAAGTATTAGATATATATACAGGATCTAACGGGTTTTGAAGTCAGAAAAAATAAGTTTGTGGGACAGAAAAAAGCGTGATCAAAACCTAAAAGATTTCTACCCGAGTTCCTAGTATTGCGTGACCAACACTAGAAAAACACAGGTAGCCCAAACATAGTTTAAAGTCACCTCGGGTTCTCCGGTTCACAAGCTAAATTCCAATACGCCCTTTCGGCTCAGTAATCACGTGCTGATTAATTCACTGAGATGAACATCTTGTTCCCATGGGTGAAATATACTGGCGAGCAAACAAACTTTCTACAACCTGTTTCGAGAGATCGTAATAAAACTGCATTTCGTAACACACTGGTTACACATCGTTTCATTGAGTTCTTTATAAGTAGCTAAAAAGAATCACCAATTTAAAATAAGATAAAAAATTTTGCTCACCAGTACAGACTCGTGACCGTTAACTCATCCAATGGTATAAATATATCTGATTTTAGTAAAAATGGGAAATTGGAATATATAAAAAAAAAAGCGGAAATTGCGAAATTGCAAAGAAAAGTTGAAAATGAAATAGGCTGGGAAAAGAGCAACAAAGCCATAAAATGCGGAAAGCTAAATCTTGCGTTGTTTTAAACACAAACTTGCCGCACTTTGTTAAAGACTGCGCCCGCTTTTTCAGCAAAATGTAGCAACTTGATACGCGATTGGCAGAAACAAATGTCTGATAAAAGCGCTATATGGTCACGGTATAGATAGATAGATTTTTTTATTCGCTCATGTAGTTGAATTATATGACGTATTCTTTGCCAACATCAGAGGACCTAGCATTGGATTTTGATGCATAGAGCCTCATTAAAGTTGAACCATTTAGCGCAAATATCTTCGCAGCAAATTCCCATAAGATTAAGCTCGCGCTTATATCTTACAAAGTCAGTCAAAAAATATTTTATTCAACTTCCTATATTTACAACAAATTTCCTTTAATTGCTTTTGAGATGTGCGTCCGTATGTCACTTCTTCGCGGATAGTAGCGCTTGTTTCCCTTCTTAGGCTTTCCCCCTTCGGCAACACCTCCAAACAGATCGTCCTTTACAAATCGAATCAAGCATCTCTGTATCTCTGCTAC